TACCAATGTCTACAAAGAGATTTCAATAATGTGTAAATACAATCGTTGATATTATATTTTTTTAAATGACAAAATTGCTATATATATGGACAAAAAAATATATATTCTATACAAATGAATTAAGACAGCAATTCATTCATATAACTGAGTTGCTAGAGAACGAACACATTTGTCTAATTTATATAAAAAAAAATACTAAACAATGTTAAATAAAATCTCCAAATTACAGCACAACATGCGTACATCTACACATTAGCTATTAATTTGAATAATTATTTGCTCAAATTCAAACAATGATAACAACAAAACACATAAATAATCCAAACCATATATATCTTAAACTGCACTATATAATATTTGATGTTCTAATTTATATAACTATATATCAATCCAAATATTTTTAATATATTATAACAATCCATTCCGTGCATCGCACGGGCGCAAATACTAGTAGATATAATAAAGCAGAAATCTACTTTCCCTCCAAAAGTGTAAATGGCCTTTGTGAAAATGGGCTACAGTAATATATATATATATATATATATATATATATATATATATATATATATATATATATATATATATATATGAAAGAGATATGTACTAACTTTTTAATAGTTTGTAATTTTGATTAGTTTTTTAATAATTTACAAAGAAAGTTAGGTAAAGTAAGATTAAGTAGGGAAAAAAAAATTTCGCCTTAAGTGTGAATGCATATTAATAGATTTGTAAGATCATTATTATTTTTTTTTTTTTGTGTAAACCACGAGGCAGTCCGGGTCTTTCTCTGTCTGTTTAACTTTGTAAGATCATTATTGCAAATGAGATTAGCAATATGAATGCATTTTTTGTCATATTTATTGTCTTAACATTTAAATATTACGATGTATAACTATACTTACATTTTTAATAAAATTGATCCTGCTTTGTATCATAACATTACAATACTTATAAATTTTTGTCCGTGCATCGCACGGGACAAATACTAGTTATTGAATATATATTACTATTCGTGCATCATATAAGGTTTGATTTATGGATAATAAATAATATAAGGTTTGGTATAGTTCTCTTTGTTACTTTGTATGCCCGTGGTATTTTTTTTTAGTTTGACAAGTGATGGATATAAGATTTTTTTTCGGCAGAAGTGTCAAATAGGCCCATCTACTACTGCGAAGTGCTTAATTCTCACCACGAACTAAATTAAGTGTCAAATAGACCCATTTACCATCTAAATTTGTTCGATTGGATTTTTTTGCAAGTTGCCTATTCAATTATTAAAAAATATATTTAAAAAAAAAAGAAAAGAATTTCAGCCACTGGCTGTCTACGCCGGACAGCCAGTGGCTGCGTATTTCGCAGACAGCCGGACAGTCATGGGACTCATGGCTGTCAAACATGAGGTCCAGATTTGGACCTCAAACGGCCTGGAATGAGGGCAGCGGCCATGGCCGAATAATATGAGACAAAGACATCTTGCGAAAGCAGCTAGCTATATATGTAGACACCAGACGAAGTGTTAGTTGGGTCTGTGAGCTATGAAATTATTGGTATTTTTTCCGCAAATTGCTTGAAGCATGAAGGCAGATTTAATCTTTAATAAAAATTAGTATTAATCTTTAGTTTTGAAATACAAGCAGATAGTGCTCCCACATATGTATAATTGTTTGGAGTAAACCCATCCTCTAGAACAGTAGAACCATAGAAAGCAACCGGAGATCTTAGGCTCCATGTACGTGTCGTGTATATATATATATATATATATATATATATATATATATATATATATATATATATATATATATATAATATACTTTATATATATTTTTTAATAATTGAATAGACACTCTGTTAGCAACTTGCAAAAAAAGTCTATTGAACAAATTTAGCTGGTAGATGAACAAATTTAGTTCGTGGTGAGAATTGAACACTTTGTAGTGGGCCTATTTGACACTTTTTAAAAAAAAAAAAAATTAGTTCCAACACTAAGTCAATATAAAGTAAAATTTGATATTAGATATTATAGATTCTTTATCATAATAAGATATTGTTAAAATATTATATAATATTTTGAGTATTTATTTATATTACTTAAATTTGATAATAAATAATATAATTATTGAATATATATTACTATTCGTGCATCGCACGTAGGGGTGTAAATGAGCCGAACCACTCGCGAGCGGCTCGGTCAAAGCTCGGCTCGAACTCGAGGGCTCGTTTACTTATCGAGCTCGAGCCGAGCTCACGAGCCTTATAATAATAATAATAATAATAATAATAATAATAATAATAATAATAATAATAATAATAATAATAATAATAATAATAATAATAATAATAATAATAATAATAATAATATTAATATTATTATTATTATTATTATTATTATTATTATTATTATTATTATTATTATTATTATTATTATTATTATTATTATTATTATTATTATTATTATTATTATTATTATTATTATTATTATTATTATTATCAAAAATTAAAATTTTACTCCCTTCTAAAGCTTACCGTACTCCAGTACTCTCACAGTCCCGCACTCCCGCCCCCATTATCCCAAGCCCTAACTCTGGAGTTTGGAAGACTATCGACGACAACGACACGGAGACGAGATACGGAGACACCGGAAGACCGCCTGTCGACGACTCGTTTGAGTCAAAATCAAGCACGAACTCGAACTCGAACTCAAACAATTGAACTACTCGAACCGAGCTCGAACTGTTCAAAAATTGTCGAGCTCGAGCCAACCCAGGCTCGAGCTCGGCTCGACTCTTTTACACCCCTAATCGCATAGGTGCTATACTAGTATTTATAATAGTTGATGATCATCAATAGTTAATAATGCACCATTACATACTTTGGTTGATTTTGAATTTAAGCTTGAAGGTTAAAAGAAAAACGTAATTAGTTAAAACGTTAAAAATGAATTTAACTATTGTTATTATTATTGCAAAAATGCTTCCTACTTATAAAAATCACTCAATTTTTGTGACTCTTTCATGTGACAAATTTGTTTGGTTAGTTTGTCCTTTTTATTTTATTTTTAAATTTCAAATCTCAACTTATTGGATACATTCAAGAGGCAAAAATTGAGTTTTTTTATAAGGGAATATAGCATTGTAAAAAATTATTATTATTATAGTGATATTTTTATTTATAATCTACAATTATCGATTTGGTTTCTTAAAATTTTTGGATGGATTAATTTCAATTCAAAATAAATAAAATATCTTCATTTTTATCAAATGTTTTAAATTCAATTTGACTAATTTAAAAAGGTCAAGAGCCAAAATTGTTCAAATTAATTTAAAAAAATTAAACTTGAAAAATTACTAAGTAACTTGTAGTTCAATGACATTTTTGTGATTCCCTCAAATGAGAGGTAACAGATTCAAAGTCAGAAAGTATGTATAAATATATATTATATTGTAATAGAGTCCGTAGAAGAAAAACCAAAATTCAAAAAATATACAGTTATTATTATGCAATAATAGTATATGTTTTGTTTTATAATATACTTTTCAGACTAGGGGTGTGCAAACTTCGAATAATTTTCGGTTAACCGACCGAACCGACAAAGTTCGGTTAACCGTTTTCGAACCGAACTTTTTCGGTTCGGTTAATGGTTAAAGGAATTTTAAAACTTCGGTTAACGGTTAATTCGGTTCGAAAGGTCGGTTAACCGAAATTTGTAATATATATATAAATAATAGGGAAAAGGGTCAAATAGACCATCGAACTTTAGCTTAAAAGTCAATTAGGCCTCTAAACTTTTTAAAGGTGCAATTACACCCATCAACAATTCATTTAAGTGCAATGAAGCCCAAAAATAAATTAATGACCTGCTATCACAGGTCATTAGGGTTTAGGCCACCTTCCGACGAATTTTCTGGCAAAAAAAAAGTGACTGACGAAATTTTCGACAAAAGAAGTGACCGGCGAAATTTTCGGCAAATCTGGGTCGGTTGCTGGTAACCTTTTTTTTGTTGAAAAATTCGCCGGAATGTGGGCTGAATCCTAATGACCTGTGATAGCAGGTCATTAACTTGTTTTTGGACTTCATTGCACCTAAATGAATTGTTGATGGGTGTAATTGAACCTTTAAAAAGTTTAGGGGCCTAATTGACTTTTAAGCTAAAGTTCGAGGGCCTATTTGACCCTTTTCCCTAAATAATAATATAAATATAAATACCAGGACTATGTGGTATAATGGTACCCGGGTTGGACTTCCATTTGGAAGGTTGTAAGTTCGAGCCTTAGTGGAGACGTTATTAGCTCTTTGTGTTTCAATAGGTTGAGAAAGTATACAAACAGATACTACAATGTAAAAAAAAATAATATAAATACTAATTTGGAGTTTATAATTATTGTTTTTGTATATTTTGTTATGAATTTATTATGATATGTATTTTATTTTAATTGAATTTATTATTTTAGGTGTTATTTTTAAAATTTTAAATTTTAGCTTTAAAAAGTTCGGTTAATCGGTTAACCGACCGATTAACCGAAAAAAGTTTCGGTTCGGTGAATTCGGTAGAGCAAACTTCGATTCGGTTAACAGTTAAAGGAAAAAAAACTTCAGTTAATTCGGTTCGGGGTTAAAACGGTTCGGTTAACCGATTGAACACCTATATTTCAGACATATTATAGATGGCGTTTTAGATTAAATTTGACTAATTTAAAAAGGTCAAGAACCAAAATTGATCAAATTAATAAAAAAAAAGGATTAAACTTGAAAAATTATCAAGTATCTTGTAGCTCAATGACATTTGTGTGACTCCCTTAAATGAGAGGTCACAGATTTAAAGTGAGAAAATACGTATAAACATATATTATATTATAATAGAGTCTGTAGAAGAAAAACCAAAATTAAAAAAAATACATATAATTTGGAGTACATGTAGTAGAACTACTGTTATTATCAATAATAGTACTCCGTATATGTTTTGTTTTATAATTATACTTTTCAGACATATTAAATCAAAGTTTATACGGAGAGACGGCGCAACAATTGTCCATAAAGCAAAGCGCTCACCATTTCTGAACTTTTCTACTTCTCAAACCTCATTCCTCATTCCTCGATTCCGCTCTGTCTGTAACTGTAGATCCGACCCGATCCAGTCTATTCGGATTAATCTGGAGGCAGATCTACTGGGTTGCAGCCATGCCCGTGGCAGCTTCTGCTATATACTTCTTAAATCTCCGGGGCGACGTCCTCATTAACCGCCTCTACCGCGATGACGTCGGGTGTGCTATTCCCTCTCTTGCACTATCTATGTGTTAATTTTTCGATTGATTTTTGGGGAATTCTGAAAATTCAGTGCATTAAGAGATTGGTGATTCCATGGTGGTTGAAGTTTGACTTATTTAGTTCTGATGATAGCTTGTTTTCCTTTTTTCTCAGTAGAAACTTATGGGGGGAAATCGAGAATGTAAAAACCCTTTCTTTCAATTGTAACATTGGATATCAGTTCGGGTCAAAGATGAGATTTAAAAGATCTTCATTATTATTACTGCAATATAAAGGCTGTTCTTTTAGGCTGCTGGGCTGGAATTAAAAGTCTGATTGATTACCTTTGACTTGAATGCGTATCGTATTTCACCATTGCACAGTCTCCTAAACTCCAAGAGTTTTAGTCCTCTTGTTTATTGTGACATAAAGGTGGAATTGCCCACCCAGGCAGCCCCACACTCTTGCCTTGTGGAGGGGTAAATCAGGGTGACTCAACTGATCAATAGAGGCTAGACTGTTGCTCACAGTGCACAAGGAGCACCCCTCATTTTGAGAGGTTGCTCTTACACTGGTGTGGGTGAGACTTAATCCTCTGTTTCTTGTGACAAATTTCACTTTTGTGACCAGTTGAGCTACCCATGCGGGCTAGTCCTCTTGTTTATTATAATTGGAAATGCATGTTCTATTTCTCCATTGCATAACAATAATGTTTAATTTTTATGCCATTCCTTTTAATGTGATCAGGGGAAATATGGTAGATGCCTTCCGTACACATATAATGCAGACAAAAGAACTGGGGACATGTCCTGTGAGACAGATAGGAGGCTGCTCTTTCTTGTATATGAGAATTAGTAATGTCTATATAGTGATTGTTGTCAGCACCAATGCTAATGTTGCTTGTGCTTTCAAGTTTGTTGTTGAGGTCAGTGGCTGTTCTTGATACTTGTGTTCATGGGATGTTCAGTGTTTTTTCATTCTTGGGATATTAAACTAGGTGAACTGTTATTTAGAGAAAAGCATTATTGATTATCAGCTATGCAAATATGCACTCTTGCTATTTAGAGGAGCACCATTTCATTTTAGAATGTATTGATTTGAAGGAAGGCCAACTCCATTGCTATAGATTACTTTACCTATAAAAGAAATACTAGCATTTGCACAATGACGATCCTTTCTACATGTTGCAAAAACTGGAAACATTATGTGACGTTAGGTTCTGCAGAAATAGTTTATTTTCATTTCCCTATACATGTCAAGTATGCAGAAGCCCCTTGTCTTCTTTTCCGTTCTTTTAATGAATAAACATATAATTTAGTATTTCTAATGTCATAAGGGTAAGGTGCATTATGTTATAAAGCCTGAAATAAATACCTTCATTTCTTATGCTGGTTTGCCTAGGGTGAGAAACTAAACTCCATAAATCATAAGTTTGTGGGAGTTAACTAATTATGGTTAATGGTTTTACATGAGTTCTGTTTGAGTGTCTTACAACATATCTAACTTCTGTGCAGGCAGTTGCCTTGTTCAAATCATATTTTGGTGGAGCTTTTGATGAAGATGCCATTCGCAATAATTTTGTTTTAATTTATGAACTTTTGGATGGTATGCTATAAAGATACTCGTATACTTTACACATTTTGTTACAGAACTACCTAATCAAGGCTTCATTTAGCAATTGTGTGTACATTTTTCTCTTCTCAGTTCTACAGATTTATTTATTTTAAACGTATCTAGAATCACTGCGTCGACTATTTAGTAATCTTCCAAGTTCTGATGCTTGCTGAAAAAGTTTGGCTGCATTCATTGCAACTGAAGAGGTGGAAACTTATGAAGTTAGAGTTATGAATACTTGATTTGATGGAATTTCAATCAATTAGGACCTGATCTAGATTGATGCTAATTCATTTAATTGACTACAATCAATGATCTTGAACACTTCAGCTATCCTTGCATGAAAAAATATTTTTAAAAAATGATTTGACAAAAAAATCATTTTCTCATGAGCTTGCTAATTAGCACAGTCTGGCCTACTTGGACAATTTAGGTGATGCCATTCACATGTAGCTGTTCCTTCACATTTTTAGCATGTGTGCATAAAAATAGATTGTTGAATATTAGGAAAGTTGTCTTAGTTTCCTATTCTTATTAGTAGTTTCCTAAACTAATTTAGTATCTAGTTTAGTATATATAGAGGTCCATAGAAGTATAGAATATACATTAAGAGAGACAATCTATTGTAATCTTTCATTATAATATATTCTCTTGTTCTTTGGTTCTCACATATTTTGCTTCCGCCTAACTGGCGGGTGGTGGTTATTCTCCACCCACCAGACCTATCAATCCCTCAATTTCAACATGGTATCAGAGCCTAAACCCTAAATAATTCTTTTCTTCTTTCCCGCCGCCGTCACAGCCGCTACCGCCACCGGAGCCAAAACCACCGCCGCCGAGATTTGCTATCGTTTTCCGGCCAGATCTCTCTGCTCCGATATCCGTTCGAGACTTCGTTGCCACCATTGGATTCGTCTTGAGGAGACGCATGTACCTGTGTTTCCCGATCTTCCGTCGGTCGCCGGTCAACTTCGCCGGTCAATGGTCAACGTCAGTCAAACCTCCCTTGAGGCAGAATCTCTTGCCATTTTTGGACTTTTTGGTGAAATTTGAAGGTTCTTTTTTTGGATTTGTTGCTGAACTTCTCCCCATGGTGTTTGTGTTTTGGTATAACTGTGTGTTTGTTTCCTTATCTCCGGTTTGCCTTATCCCATGGGCCTTCAGTTTCAGCACTGTTATAAAGACCTTTGATTATTTCCCATGTTTCAAGTAGGGGGGAGTGTAACTATCTACAATCGGTGTGTTATCCTTTGCTATTTTGTCTTCATTACTATGGGCTCTATTGCATCCTTTGCTATTATTTGCTCCCTTTTTGTCTCTACCGCTCTCTTGTGTTATCGGGAGGTTGTTCATGTTTAACTCTATCCTTGGTGTGTTCATCTTCATTCCCGAGGTTCGTGTTCAGTTCCGTCCTCGGTGTGTTCATTCCCAAGATCGTGTTTAGCTTCGTCCTTGGTGCCTTTATTCCCAAGGGTCCTTGGTGTCTTCGTCTTTATTCCCAAGGATTGTGTTCAGCTCCGTTCTTGGTGCCTTCGTGTTCATTCTCAAGGAAGGGTCAAACATAGTGCAATCTCTTTTGAAGTCATCCATCCTAGAGTGCTTATGTTGCTGTGATGGTGTTCGTGTTTTCCCTTGGTGCCTCCATTCCCAAGGATGTTCGTGACAAGCTTTGCCCCTGGTGCTTTCATTCCCAAGGGTTGTGTATAGCATTGTCCCTCCGAAGCCATCTCGCACTGTTATCCTCTAGTTGCATTTAATTTTCATTTGTAATTTTGAGTGAGGTAGAGTGCTTGTTTTAATCCAAGCTTGGAACGTCAGATGTTCCAGCTTGAGGGGGAGTGTTGAATATTAAGAAAGTTGTCTTAGTTTCCTATTCTTATTAGTAGTTTCCTAAACTAATTTAGTATCTAGTTTAGTATATATAAAGGTCCATAGAAGTATAGAATATACATTAAGAGAGACAATCTATTGTAATCTTTCATTATAATATATTCTCTTGTTCTTTGGTTCTCACATATTTTGCTTCCGCCTAACTGGCGGGTGGTGGTTATTCTCCACCCGCCAGACCTATCAATCCCTCAATTTCAACATAGATAATGGAGTAATGTGAATTTTTGTCCTTGAATTACAATTATAGGTAGCACTTTTCGCCCCTCAATTGTTTGCCATGTGGCTTTTTCATCCCTGAGCTTTGTTTGGGTCGGGTTAAAAGAGCCACTTCACAGACATTTGAGGGATGAAAAGTGGTAACAGGTATAATTGAGGGACAAAAACTGTTATTTTCCGTTTTTCCAATAATTTAGGGATGAAAATTGCCATTTTCCAAAGATAATTTTTCTTTTTAGTCACAACTGTTGAGCATATAACCATTAATGTGCAATCCAACTATCAGCTTAGGCTTTTAGTTGAGTTGGAGCATATGCTTCAATTTGGTATCAGAGCCAGACCAAAGGTCATGGGTTCGCGTCTCTACGTCACCCGATAAGCGACTACGGTCCACGTGTTGCTTGGAACCCACCGCATATGTGAGGGGGCGTGTTGAGCATATAACCATTAATGTGCAATCCAACTATCAGTTTTGGCTTTTAGTTGAGATAGAACACATGCTTCAATTACAACAAATGTTTGTTCAGGTCCTTATAAAGTACTAATATCATACTGTGTTCATTTTCTGTAAGAATGAGTAAATCTTCTTCTGAAATTGTTTTATGGTCAAATTGCAGAAATTATGGACTTTGGTTACCCCCAAAATCTTTCGCCTGAAATTTTGAAGCTCTACATTACTCAAGAAGGTGTGCGCTCCCCATTTTCGTCAAAAGTAAGTATTGGCCATTGACTTGTATTGTGTTTTGATAATAATCTACACAATAGAAAAAAAAAATCAAATAAAATGCTGCTTGGGTGAGTGTACTTATCTATTCTTTTGTAAAATGCAAAACCAAACAGCCTGTTGATAGACCAGTTCCTAATGCAACATTACAAGTCACTGGTGCTGTTGGCTGGCGGAGGGAGGGTCTTGTATACAAGAAGAATGAGGTGGATTATTTTGCCTTAAATTTTAATATCCCCTTTCAATATGATTTTCCTGACAAGTAGCTATTGTATGCAATTATCATCTTTGTTATTTGACAGGTGTTTCTGGATATTGTGGAAAGTGTCAATCTTCTCATGTCCTCTAAAGGTTGGTAATGTGAAAATTTCAGTATTTCACTAGTCTAGCTCAAGCCTCAATGCTTTTCATTTCTGGCTTTAATTAGAAGGTTACTATTGTAGGTAGTGTTTTACGTTGTGATGTTACTGGAAAAGTCCTCATGAAGTGTTTCCTTTCCGGGATGCCTGATCTGAAGTTGGGCTTAAATGATAAAATTGGCCTTGAGAAAGAGTCGCAGCTCAAATCCCGCCCAACTAAGAGGTATCTTCTGCAGGCTCATCTCTTTTCATTATGTTCCTTTATTAAGTCTCACAAATTCTCCACTACAATTATGTATTTGAATTTTGGGCTTAGACAAAGTTTGTCTGAGCATCTCCATAATTGTTTAGTTACGTATGCTTGCTGACTTACTATGCTGCCTCATGCAGTGGAAAAACTATTGAGCTTGATGATGTCACTTTCCATCAGTGTGTAAATTTGACAAGATTCAACTCAGAGAAGACTGTCAGCTTTGTTCCCCCAGATGGTGAATTTGAACTGATGAAGTAAGTCAATAATTCCTTCTGTGTATGTTTTTAACTTTCCAGTATATAATAACCTACCATCACTAAAGAGGTGGGTGGCCTAAAGGTTAGATCTTCAGCTTTTACCTTTAGAAGGGCAATGGGTTCGGAAGAAAGGAAAGTCCTTACAATAATACAATACTTTTTTTTGATATTGAATTAGTGTGTAACATACATAGTTAAATTGAATGAGGTATTCAGCTTTTTTGAATTTGTTGAAACTGTAATAGCATTGAAATAATAGTGTTTTCATTTTGGGTTTTTCTCTACAGGTATCGTATTACTGAAGGTGTAAATCTTCCTTTCCGTGTTTTGCCAACTATAAAGGAATTAGGTCGGACACGCATGGAAGTGAATGTAAAGGTCTGTAATCATCTTTGGAGTATGATAATGTTCTATAACTTCTATTGCTTGTTAAATATATTTCCATATATGTATATATATATTTTTTCTCTCAGGTTAAGAGTGTCTTCGGTGCTAAAATGTTCGCACTCGGTGTAGTGATTAAAATTCCAGTACCAAAGCAAACGGCAAAAACAAATTTTCAGGTGACATCAGGAAAAGCAAAGTATAATCCTTCTATTGACTGTTTGGTCTGGAAGTGAGTATCTTTATTTGTTTGAGGAAACTTTCCACTATAATTTCATTTTTGACTGTTATATGGAATCCTTGATTATGACTTTTTCATAAGGTTATCCACTTAAGATGTGATCCTTAACTATCTCTGAAATTCCATTTTCCTGATAGTTATTACATGTGCTTAATCTGGTTTAATCACCTTAGTTGTGTGAACATCATACTATGGATGGTGAGGGGCAAATGCCATATTTCTTCACATGCACCCTAATTTCCCACGAAACAGCTTCCACTTGCATGTCTGCCTACTCTGGCTTCTACTTCCCATCTTTCTAAGGAATTATTGACATGAGAGCCCAAACCACTATCTTTTAAGGAAAAAGAAACAAATTAAACGTTGAAAGTGGTGTTGTAAAAATCGGCCCATGTGGCCCTAAGCTGAAGGGAAGAATGGGAAAATCAGCCTCCTATGCAGTTGGCCGACTAGGTGGCCTTTTTTTTGGTATATGTTATGGTTAGAGCATTATGTGCTATTGAGCATTTATATTTTATGGGGGGAATACTTGCTAGAAGTCTATAAAACCAAGATGCCATAAGCAAGAAAACCCAAGTTTTTGTTTTTTTAGTTGTGCACCTAGGCACTGGTCGCCCATCAAATGCCCAATGGGCACCTCGCGATTCTTACAACATTGGTTGAAAATGGAAGATACTGTAATTTTGTTCTAATCATTAGGCCAAAAATACAAATTTTATTAAAATCGTAATTATATGGCACATGCTAGTGGCTTTTTGTGTGTGTGTGTGTCAGATCTGAGCTAGGTCTTGGTTGGATTTCTGTTTTTCAAGAAGAATGTTGTGTTTTCGTCCTTTGAGAGAGGTTAACTGTCATAATACTAGCTTATTAAGCTGTAAGCCTGTAACTTTCACATATATTTGCTGCAGGATTCGAAAATTTCCTGGACAAACTGAGCCAACATTGAGTGCTGAAGTAGAGTTGATTTCAACAATGACAGAGAAGAAATCATGGACTCGGCCACCGATTCAAATGGAATTTCAGGTGTGTGGATTTTGTCCTTTCAGGGAAATAAATAGACCTTTATACTATATTTTATCCATTGTAGCAATTGTTATGAGGAATATGCATTGAGATAGATGGGATGGATTTTGTCATTTTTATATCTTTGGAATAAGGGTCAAATAGGCCATCGAACTGCACCTAATAATACAATTAGGCCACTGAACCCAAAAAACCAACAATTGAGTCCCTAAACTAACCAATTCCTAACAATTCATCCAATTTGAAGGTTTCTAACAAGTCAACAACCAAATTAATTATTTTTTAAAAAATAAAATTTAAAAATTAATTATTAAAAAAAAAAAAAACAAAAAAAAAAAACAAAAACAGAAACGGCCGGAGACGAAGAAACTTCTTCGTCTCCACGGCCGGAGACGAAGAGTTTCTTCGTCTCCGGCCGTGGAGACGAAGAAACTGGTTTCTTCGTCTCCGGCCGTTTCTGTTTTTGTTTTTTTTTTTAATTACTTAAATAATTAATTTTTAAATTTTATTTTTTAAAAAATAATTAATTTGGGAGTATGACCTGTTAACCTGTTGGAAACCTACAAATTGGAAGATTTGTTTGAAATTGGTTAGTTTAGGGACCCGATTGTTGATTTTTTAGGTTCAGTGGCCTAATTGCATTATCTTGTGCAGTTCGATGGCCTATTTGACCCTTATTCCTATATCTTTTTATGTTTTATATGAAATACATTAAACTTAAGCACACTGCTATACTGACTCAAGGATAGTGAATACTGAGTTCTTGTCAGACCTTTTACTTGTTTGGGGTAATGTTTGCACGGAATAATCTTTTCTCAGTTCTGATCTGCATTAGCTCACATGAGACTAGATGGATTGGAAAATACTACATGTACTTCCACTTCTTACTCCCTTTCACAAATCTTTGATGTAGACACTTGTCTTGGGACCCACATGATGAAAATATCCTATCCTTGTTTGCCACATCATAGAGTAAAAGTGAGGGAGTAGAATTTGGGAGTATATGTAGTAGAACTCAGATGGATTATAATGCATATGAAAACTACTGCTTAAACTATATTTGATTATTTGTTGTGAACTCAACTGTGGGACGAGACCACCCTTTTTCTGTGCTTTCTTCTTAGCGATGTTTTTCTTTGCCCCACCAAGTCCTTCCCGCCTTGCGTGGAGATGATACGACTAAGAATCTGTATTTTGCAGGTTCCCATGTTTACAGCATCTGGATTACGTGTTCGTTTTCTCAAGGTTGGTGTTTACCAAATATACTTCTATAGACACGCCCCTTTTAGCAAACAATATATAGCTTTAACAACGATTATATATCTGCAGGTGTGGGAGAAGAGTGGCTATAACACAGTTGAATGGGTTCGTTACATTACCAAAGCTGGTTCCTATGAGATTAGGTGTTAGGAGAGAGTACTGTAAAATTCTTTGTTGCACAAATAATTGAAATTTGTTGAAGCCTCTATGGTCTTGAAGTTAAACCGTCAAAACTATACAATGGGACGAGGATATAATTCCGTCATTCCACTACGTCTTCCCTTCAGCTCTTTGGTATGGCATGTCAATACTTGTATTTGGTATTGTGAAATTTGAGTTGATCTTGGTGTTACAGAGGCTATTGGAGACATGAGATGGTGTGAATTGCAATTTTCCTGATTTTTTTTTCCCTATACTATACTTTTTTGTAATTACTTCATGGTTTGTTCAAACATACTTGTAGGTGAAATTTATTGTAATTCTTTTACATCTTGCAGAGAAACAATATAGTTATCTTGTGCATTATGATCCGTTGGCTTTCTTCACAATCTGATTAGCTTTCTTTCATAATTAAATGACTTTTGACTTTTTGATTGAAGTGTCAGCATGTGATTAAATGATTGTGCATAAGAATGTAATGAACACTTGGCGCTGGGTGAGGACAACCAATTGTTATACCATAGATCAATGTCTACTTTACATATGTAGTTTGTAGTTAACATATTACAGGGCGTTTGGTTGGAATGGGGGAATTACGTTGGAATGGGGGAATTACGTGGGAAAGGAATTGCAATTTCATGGGAGATGAATTACTGGGAATAAAGTGGGAATTTAAATGTCAGTGTTTGGTTTACAGGAATAGGATTACTGAGACTTTCAATTCCAATGTTTGGTACACATTGAAATTGAAAGGGAATAAGTAGTATAAAGTCCAAAATGTCAATTGTTGTTGTGGTATTAATTTTATAGTAAATACCCAAAATGGTCCATCGATTATAGCTAAATTCACAAATTGGTCCTCGACTTTTAATTTCAACCAATTAAGTTCTTAACTTTGCAATTTTAACACAATTTGGTCCTTTGTCTATTTGTCCGTTTGTTGACTGCGCTTTTTTAGGATATATATGTAATTTCATGGTCCATCGTCATTTTTTTAAGGTTCCGGTTGCATTTCTAGACCGCACTGTTACATTTGAATCCACTGCCAGCGCTGCACCCCATGCCGGAGAGATTATAGCTTTTGATAGATAGATCGCCGAAGTCCCTGGAGTGGCTCTTCGAGAAAGCCGTGACTCCAAGCGATGTAGGCAAGCTGAACCGGCTCGGGATCCCCAAGCAGCAAGCAGAGAAGCACTTCCCCCCTTCGAAACGGCGCTGTCACCTCCAAGAGCGTTCTCTAAGCTGAACTGGCTCGTGATCCTCAAGCAGCAAGCGGAGAAGCACTTCTCCCTCCGAAACAACGATGTCACCTCCAAGAGCGTTCTCTTGAGCTTTGCACGTGAAACTACATATATATCATCAAAGATCGCGATCAACAAACAGTCAAATAAATGGAGGACCAAATCGTGCCAAAATTGCAAAGTTAAGGACTTAATTGGTTGAAATTGAAAGTTGATGACCAATTTGTGAATTTAGCTATAGTCGATGGACTATTTTGGGTATTTACTAAAAAAAGAGGGATAATTTTGTCTCATCACTAGCTTTTTTTCTTCCTAAAACCCCAGGAATTAAAATACCATAGGGGGGACATGGGATTTTAATTCCATGAAAATGGGAGAATTGCAATTCCTTCCAACCCAAACTAAGGAATTTTATGGCCTTTGGAATTAACTGGGAATTAAGTGGAAAGGGAATTTAAATTCCCTCCAACCAAACGCCCTGTTATGTGTAGAGGTGTCAAAGTGGGTTGAAGCTTGCGATGGAACGAATTAGGGCTTAAAACTTTTGGCTTGTGGGCTTCATTCGCGCAGGTTGGGGGGCTATTCAATCGTTATGCTGTGAAACCGTGGCCACTTTGCAAGGTGGACAGGATCCTATGTTCATTATTACTGAATTATAATTATAAAGCTATATATTCATAATTTTTTAACTCTATATTCACAATTACATAACTCTATGTTCATAATTACTGAATTATATGTTCATAATTATAAAGCTATATATTCATAATTTTTGAACTTCATATTCACAATTATTGAATCTCTATATTCATAATTACAGAACTATATGTTCATAATTATGTTCACAACTCTGTGTTCATAATTTTTGAACTATATATTCATAATTATGAACAGTTTTGGAACCGTGTCCACCTTACAAAGTGGACACGATTCCACAACATAATTTGCCGGGGGCTATTCGAGTTAGCCTGCATTGAGTCGTTGGCCACATCCCAACTAGCAGGCTATTCATATTTTAAAAGGGAAAATTGCACTTTTCATCTAAAAGTTATACGTTAATTGTAGAATTCGCTCCTAAGTTATCATTGGCGTTGCATTTTTTGTCGCTTTACTAACAAAACATTAAGAACGAAAATTAAAGATGAAATTTGTAACTTTAGTATATGACGAACATGTACGACGACAAATTATACTACAAACTAGGGTTCACCTTGTATTGTGATTCCTAATCCAAAATAACATTCAAATTATTTGTTTGAATTTAATATATTATGTGTTTGTCATTAACTACAACATAATATGTCAACTACACTATGGAGCCATTAATGACTTATACCGAAACTATAATAGATACGGAGTAGATGGAGCCATTGTTGAGTAAACTTTTTGGTCATCTACTAAAATTTGTCTTTTTTTTTTTTTTTTTTTTTTTTTCACTCAAACAATGAGACTGAAATTGATTGTGGTTATATCAAAATAATTTCAATCCATATAAAAAACTAAAAAAAAGGATAACACATCCCCATATACCCACACATTTGCCCATCAGATTAGGAAAACCATTTTTTGTCCAATTGAAAAAAAAAATCTTAATATTACCTATCAATAATTCAAAATATGCAACAAAATAATAGACATTCTTTGATAGTAAAACCTCACATAATGCATTACAATTAGTTAATTATCAATCAAAGAGTTTTTTCTTTTATAAGAGAAACTCACAGTCATTATTTGAGAGTGTGTATAAGGTAAATCTCACTCGTGTGTAATAACCTGCAAACTATACAGAAGAAATAAGTCGCGCTTAGAATGGTTCCGTCCAGGGACTACATGGGGACAAAAGTTTGACAATTATGGGACTCTGATCTATTGATTGTTTCCTTTTTCATGGATGCTTGAAACGGAAAAACATTGAATTGGTGAAACTCATTTAAGACAGAAAGTATGTTTTTTTTTTTTTTTTTTTTTTTTTTTTTTTTTCACTTACAATGTTTGTGTTCTTCCACTTGGTTTATGAGTTTCCTTCAACCTGAACTAGTATGCAAGGATGCAGTACTAAGAGCAAAGAGGTTGGATCTAAAGGAAGCAGTACTCAAAGTGGGGGGAAAACGGGATGTAAAGATAGACTGCGTTTACTTCAATTCTTTGTTTTCATTTCTCTAGTTTTTCATTGGCACATTCTGTTTTATATGTTCCAAGTAAACCTATTCTCTATTTTTCTTTCTCAAAATTTTCAGTTTTTCTAAAGAAAAGAAGAATTTCTCCCGTTAGTAAATGAAGCTTATAAATGATCCACAATCAACAAATTTTCTTGAAATTGTTATTTCTGTGCTCTTTTATGTAGGATAAGGAGGCAGTAGTTGGGGATTATGTACCAAATGCAAATATCAATCCTAGTAAAATCAACAGGAAGGTTCATGCCTCAAGGAGTAAAGCAATTATTAACAATAATATTTTTTTTATACTCTATATTCTTTTTTTTTAATGGTTGTTTGATACATTTATGTTGACAATTTGGAATAATAATTACAATGTGATTGAAAGATACAAAATTTAAGAGAATATAATATACTTTGTAAATTAGAGGGTGTGGAATATAATGCTATTAACCTTGTAGTGGCTTAAAGTAATGAACCTACAATAATGAAACTATATAATTAACTAACTTAATGAATATGAAATTATTAATTACTTATTTTAATTGTATGTAGGTTAATTTTAAAAAAATTGAAACAATATCAATCTAGTGTCATTTAAAATATCTCAATTAGGAACCGTGTAGTTCAAAGTCTTCAAACACTAGAATCAGAATCATAATTGAAATCATGCAAATCCTTAGTAATGGCAATGAGTTTTAGTATTAAAAAAAAAAAAAAAAGCATCTTTACTTAAGCGTTACATCGACGCACGTTAAGGTTTAGATATACGCACTGAGGGCTTGGCAGTGAAATTATTAAATTAACGCACCTTAAGCATTAAAAACATGCACCTAAACTACGCATCTTAACGTTTAAATTTACGCACTTAAAGCTTTGCACTTGAAAATCATAAACTTTGAACTGTAAGGCAATCTTGATTTAAAATAACGCACATTAAGCATTAAAAACACACACCTTAAGCACCAAAACTACGCATCTTAAGGTTTAAATATACGCATTGAAGGCTTCACAATGAATATTTAAATTTGCGCACCTTAAGCCTTCAAAACATGCACCTGAAATACTAAAACCACACACCTTAAGGTTAAAATCTACGCATGCATCTAAAACTTTGCAGTTGAAAATCCCAACTCTTTGAACTGTAAAGTAGTAGATAGTTTAATTAAGGCACCTTAAGCCTTGAAAACACGCACCTTATGGTTGAAGTGTACGCACATATAGCTTTGCAGTAGAAAATCTTAACTCTTTGAACTGTAAGCCATTGAGTATTTAAATTAAAGCACCTTAAACAATCAAATCACGCACCTTAAGGCTTTGACGGTTGAAATTCTTAAATTTAAAGTCTAAGGTAGAGAATATTCAAACTAATGCACCTTAAGTGCATAAGTTTATTGGTTAAGGTGCATAAATTTTCGTCTTAAGGTGCTTAGATTTTACACTAACATAATGTTTATATGTTACAGTTCCAAAATCATTATCACATGACTTGCAATTCAGAAACAACCTCAATTTGAGTGACACAAATCCCAGTAACAACAAGGATGGTTATTATTTGACTATATCTCCTAGAATGATACAATATTGGACTCCAAATTGTGAAGATGAGATCAAACCTTTGGTTGGTATGTCTTTTAAAACTTTAGAAGCTGCTATAGAATTTTACAAGAATTATGTTGTCAAAGTTGGCTTTGACACACGGTTTAGTTCTGTTACAAAATCACGGGATGTGATACTTATAAGGCATATTGTTTGTAGTAGAGAAAGATATAAAAATGCAAGTGCTCAAAATTGTCATTTTAGATCAAATGCAGATGCATGATATTGTTCTTCCAATCCAAAGAGGAGGAGAGTTTCAAACAGAACTTGTTGCAAAGCTAGGATTGTATTTAAGTTCACTAGTATTTTCGCCCGTGGAATGGATTTGTTGTAATATATTAAGAATATTTAGATCGATATATAATTATTTAAATT